CCTCAAAAGCCCTTCCCCCGATCCATCCCCGAGGCGACACCTGCAACGCTGCCTTCCCTCTACCTTCAAGACGCAGCTGCTCCGGAGCAGGCAATCCCCCAAGTCCTCGCGTAGCCCCGAGCACGGGCGCCGGTCCTCCACTTTGCCCTCATAGTATCTGGGCATCCCGGCGAGGAGGAGGTGCCCCTCCTCGCCCAAGCGTTGCCTCCTCCACAGCAAGCGAACGACGGACGCCACCTTCTCTCGCTCACAACCCGGATTTAGGCGGCCGCCATCTTAAGTTCACCTTTGACCCATCCACGAACTTACTAAAACTGTTAGAGAGGACCGTCGTTCCCTGACATTTTAGTCAAAAAGTTTCCTTTTATTTGGTCCCTCTTATAAGCAAAGACGATAGCTCGTGTCCTTTCAGCTTCCTCCACCCCTTATTCCGAGAAACAGCATTTTAAAATCTCCACCACCACCCCGCTGCCGAGTCCAACACAGAGGCGCTCCGTCCTCTCCGTAGGGTCGAGGGCGCAAGAGCCTATTTGTGTGCCTACATAGAGAGACCACGACGACGACGACGAGCGACTGAAGGGAACTGCGTTGCAAAGACTTAACTGTGGTTAAGGGCTGTGCTTGATAACGTTAATTGCTTTATACATATAAATAAAAAGACGATGGTTTGTGGATTGGGTCGAGGATGGGAAATTAACATACTAGAGACCTGCAATGCCGCCCACTGCTGGTCTCAGGCGGGAAAGAACAGCATCCCATAACGCCACCTACGTAGGTCTATTCTATCGCTATGTGACAGGTTGGGAGCCCCGCTCCCACCATCACCGCTCTGCGATGCCGTTTAGTTTTTCGGCCCCCCCAAAACCCCCACACCTAATCCCCCTCAGGTAATGCGCAATGGTCCTTCTCCTTAAATTCCTTCGTCTAGATCTGCTGCCCAGGTTGGAGTTGAGCCCTGAGACGCGGGCAGATGAGCTACTCTGGTCAGCAACACCATGCACAGTAATTTATTTTCTTCCACGAACTGGCGAAAAACAAAGGCGCCCATTTTTGCTGCATCAACGTCGAATTGCACTTTTGGGGAGCGGGGAAACCTCCCCACATCACAAGTTACAATAGAAGCCTGGTCGGTTCTAGGTAGACCTTCTTCGCTTTACGCCTCTGATAAGAGGGGGCGCGGAGGGGGGGGAGAAGCAGAACCCACGTCCAATGAATCATTCAAGCGGGGAACCTCTCTCTATTTTCTATCTTTGTGCTCCTAAGCGACCCCTAACCTTCGGGGACACGACCCGGCATGCACCGCGGAGCTTAAGTCTTAAGAGGCGCTCGCGCAGTTCCAAGGAGCCTGCGTCTCGTGACCGCACGCGCCTGCGCCGTGCCGCGTTTAAGCCGGAAGTTATAGGGATCTTTAAAAAAAAAAAAA